CAGTTAGGACACGGCTAGCCTCCTAGCTGGTCGTGCGCTCCGAAGTCAAACTTCTTCCTGTTTATTCTCCATTCCTGTGTATACAGAATAAACTATTCCTATTACTCTGGCCTCTACCGACTTCTTCACACCTAAGGAACCATGGTCTGAAGATCGCAGTTGCTAGGGTATAACTCACTTAAATCCCTGCGATAAGAACATAAGCATAAATTGACCAAAGACCGAAACGTGCATCGGGACAGTACGCAGTAAGGTCATCTATTTGCGGCAATTTGTGCGTCTGCTTTGACGACATTAAGTACTGTTCAGTAGTGCAAAAAGAAGGGACATTATAACTATAAAATAAACTCAAACTAAGAACGACAAGAGTATTCCAAGGATATAAAAAGCACTGCACAGCCGTCAACGACAAACAGCAAGCAATTAGACCAATGTCAGTATAAAACCGGTCGTTTGGAGAAACAGTGTAGAGGCGCGGTTAGTCAGACACGAGTAGACCATTCCACGTAAAGAGCCAGAGAGGCAGCAAAATGCGCGTGCCCAAATTCCAGCTCCAGGAGCCCAAAAGGTCAGCTTCGAGGTAGGTTTGCAGCATCACCTTGCCCAGTTGAGTGGGCAGGCTGGCAATGTTCTCGATGGCGGTGGTGGCCGGTGGCGGAAACTGCGAGATTAGGGGATTCACCAGGAAAGCCAGGAGAAACAAGGCAGGTGGGGAAACGAGGAGCAGTAGCATGGCCGCTAGGAGACGTGACCACCTAGAGAGAGAGACACACACAAAAGGCATATTCATGGACGTGATGCAGGGTTGATTGGCTACTGAAAAAAAAAAACGGTAAGAGTTGGAAACAACCTGCACGACGACGAGGACTCTAAGTTACTATCTATTTTGTCCGCCTGTGCTGTAGAGGCAAAGCCAAAGAAAAACAGGACTTCGATTTCACCGGTTTAGCTCCCCGCGCCTCACTGTCGGACAGCCAGTAATACAGTAGTCGCCGGCTATTAAGCCCACCCCGGCCCCGACCAAATTGGGCTTAATAAGCGGCGGGCGCACTAACCGGAGAGTCCTAGTT